AAAGTACAGGTGGTAATGTTAGCTAGTTGGTTAGATAACTAGCTAACTTTGAAGAAGGCTAATATGTTGATTTGTGACAATAACGCTCTCATGGCTGACACACACAGACATTTGTGAGATAAAAAATAAAGATAATACTTATATGTAAGAGTTCTTGCTGTGTAAAATAATATTATTCAGGGTGACACTCAGGTCTCAGTGTGTTTGGTTCACAAAAATATGTTTTCCTGACAGACACAGTTGGTAAGAAACAGATTCCCATTAAATTCCACAGGAAATGAATGCGGGTCATTTTAGACCCACTCACAGAAGAATGGGGTAGTGACATAAAACAAGCTGTTTCTTAAAATGTATAAAAGGTAAATTAAACATTTTAATTGCATGATATCAGTAACATGTTTCTTGAGGAATACCTGGAATATGAAGAGATGAAAACTTTTCATTACAAAGATATTGCAAAAAGATGACCTCACCGGGTCCAAAAAGACCCACTTACGCTTCAGAGGGTTAACAGTCTTAAAGGCAATTCTGCAATATCAAACGCAAAATTACCAAAATGTACTAAGTCAGTGACACTTGTCATGGGTGTGGACAGTCGCCAGCTCACCACACCCACGTTTGGCCCAAAGCTACGCAGGTTTTGGGGCAGCATTTATAAAATACTTGGTCCACCAATGTGCCTTGTCCAACTATTTTCTATAAAGGCTAAATAAAAACACACATTGCCTGAAATCTGCCTTTTAGCTCAAAACATCACAGTAAAGAACTACAACTACAGCAACTATTTCATAACCTTTTGTTATCAGAAGCCATAGATGTGGATTTTGTTTCATTACAAAATATTCCGTTTGGTTTATTTGTCAAAGAAAAAATGTGGAATTTTCAGTCAATGTTTGAATTATTGTAAGAAAATATTTTCACTAATTTTAGTCATTTGTTGGAGCCTCACTTTGATTTGTAAACAGGAGATGTGATGTTTTTTCTGCAATGTTTGTTATTGACTAACTGATGTGAGCATGTTGTCGTTATTTTTGTGTATTGAATATTTTTTTTTTAATTGTGCAGTAATGAATTGTGGGTAATACACCTGGCCAAAGTCTGCCTGGAAGCAGCAACAGGAAGAGGCGGAGACATGGCAGACAGCTCCTTATTTGGAAATGGGACTAAATCATTCAGATTATTTATTTTGAATTCTGGCATTATTGACACTGAATAAGACAACTTCTCTAAGAAAACACCAAGCTTTTTCATTTTCATAAGGAGGTGGAGCTAATTAAATGAAGGACAGGAAGGAGGAATGAGGTGGAAGGACTTTGACTGGGCCAAAACATCCAAGCATGAATCCACCAGTTGCTTCTACTGGCTTGAACAGGCAGCCTGTTGATTAGTTTGAACACTGCTGCCACCTAGTGACCGGAGGCTTGTTTTTCAGTCAAGCTTGACTAAAGACAATGATAAAGTCCAGCACTTGAGTTTCTGATTGGTTAGAGTCACCTATAACATGGCGCTCTATGAAACACTACTAAGGTGGCCAAGATGGCCGCCGTCCTGGACGGCTCCCCAAATATTAAACATTTACCAAAAACTAATTCCATAACAGACGTGAACAGTAGAGGATCCAAAACTCTTTGTTGTCTGACATGTTGACTAAATGTTGCAACTTATTAAACTTATTAGTTCAATTCGTCTCCATGTTGTTAGTTTCTTATGAGGCACCATGAGCTGCTACTGCACTGAGAAAATGCACCAAAAACAACCAATCAGAGCCAGGAGGCGGGGCTTAGTGCTGTCAATCACCTGATGTACTCGCTGCTAAATATGCGCTCATGACTGGCTGTGCTATCGGGTAAAAGGGGGGATGAGCAGCACCACCCAGACGGTGATTGGCAACACTAAGACCCGCCTCCTGGCTCTGATTGGTGCTCAGTCCATACCGTTTGATGTAGCCGATGGTGTCGTGCGGTTGGACCTGGGCCATTCTCTCCGTGTCGTTGAGGAACTTCAGGCGCACCACCATGCTCCGCTCGGCTCCCCGCCGCCTCACCCCGTCTCCCGCCTCAGGCTCTGCCTCCTCCTGGGGGGAGGAGCCGGTGGGTGGAGTCTCGGACGGAACGCTGTCACCCACAGAGGCGGTGGAGGAGAGGGGCGTGTCCTGTGGGGAGGGGGCGTGGCCTGGGAACAGCTGCTCCGGGGGCTCGGCGGTGCGGGTGGAGACCCAGGCGAGCAGCAGCACCATCAGCAGCAGCAGCGAGCCGAACAGCAGCGTCACCTCGTCCCCCACGCCTTCGATCAGAGCCATCGCCGGCAGCGCACCTGAACAAGGGACGGCTCAGGTGAGCAGCACAGACGCATACAAGGAACCTCTGATGTTAGATGGACCCAGAACTGAACCAGGAGCAGGCCAGACCTCCAGAGAACTCAGAGGAATGTTCTGGGTCAGAACCAGCGGTGAAAGTAAGCCGGTCCGGTTCAGTCTGGTCCGGTGCTGCGTACCTGCAAAAGAGCGGTACGCAGCACCTGGACAACAGTTTGAGTCAGGATAGATCTGCTAGCAGCAGGCAGCCTAAATCTTAATCTGTTTATCTCTGCATTTGATTTTTCATTCCAAAGTGTTTCTGATCCGTCCTGCTGCTGGAGCTTCTCCCCTCCTGGAGCTCGAAGTTTTCGTCTGCAGCCCTCAAACCGTTCTCCGCCACGTTTAACGTCTGTCTGCTGGTCACAAAATGTCCCAATTAGAAGCAAACTGAGAAAATCTAGTTGGTGTTTGACGTCATTTTGCTCAGTTAAAACAACTGATTATTAAGTTATAACCGGACATTTGACTGGAACCAAACGGATTGGTGCGTTTGATTTATGGACTGGGACGTTTTACACAGCTGGTCCACGTGCACCGGGACAGGACCGACAATAAATCACTTCTCCTTTACTCACCTTAAAATGAAACGTAGCGGGACATGGATTATTTTTAATTCAATCAAAACTTGATCAAAGTGCAGAAAACAACTAATTTGTTCAACAGAAAAGACAGAGATGAAACGTTACCGCAGTTACAACATGAATGATTATCAAGGTTTACACATCCCATAATGTAACTCAGGTATTTGATGTCACCTGCACTTAGATACAGATAAAAGTAACAAATCCCTCATTAAAATGTGACTTTAGTTCCTTTGTGATGAGCAAAACAAAGTTCTGCTCTTCACAAAGGAAAGGAGAACATGTTGGCCTCAAACCGTTTATTTAAAGGAGCAACTTTAGAAATAAAGATGCAGCACAAAATATTTACATTGACATTAATGTCCAATATCTTATTTTAGCTGTTTGTCCCTCCTGTCTAAATAACCGACTCCAAACTAAACTCCTGATTTGGTTTTCAGTTTCAGTCAATAGAAATTATAATCACAAGAACCTGATAAAACATTTGTTATTGAATATCCATGTTTACAATATTTGATGAAGCTGTTTTCTCTTACTTACAGTTAAACTGAAGCATTAAGTTCAATAAGGACTTTTTCTTAACTTGAACTAAATTTGCTGGCCAGCAGCTGAAGGATGAGTGACGTTCTTCTGGTTTCCCTGATTTATTTTTACTAAATAATGGAAATTATTTTAAAGGTAACTCAGTAACTTTACTCAAAACAAATTCAAGTAAAAGCAAAAGTTCAGGTTTTGTAAACAGCAAAAAGTACAAATTAGACAAACTGTAATCACAGCAATAAATGTAACTAATTAGTTTTCACCAAGTAAGCCAGAACCAAAATATTAATTTCCTCCAGATTATGAAATGCTCCTTCTGTCTCCGCACTGAAATGTTGGTTTTTATTGGTTTTGTTCGCACATTGAGCCGCTGACGATTATCGTCATAATACCGGCAAAAAATTAAAATTACTTTCACTTCTGGTCAGAACCGAACCGGAACCAGGAGAAGCTAGATGAGAACAGCTTCAGAACATCTGTTGGCCTAGAACACCAACCTTTTCTGGGTCCAGGCTGCTCCGAACCTCCGCTGGAGTTCTGCTGACCGGACCGAACCTGTTCCTCAGCAGCTGCCTCAGGACGTCTCCGGGTTCCGGACCTTGTTCATGTGCTCCCGGTTCGTACTCTCTTCCCGGTGATGTACCGGACCGCTGGCTTGGACTGCTGGCTGGCCCAGCTGGGAAGCTCTGACCGAACCAGCAGAGTTCTGAACTGCTCTTACCTGAGCTCACCTGAGCAGTTGGCTAAACCCGGAGCTAATGGTTAACAACGGCACCGGAAGTAGTTCCGGACCGGTCCGACCCAAGTTCGGACCAGAGAGCAACCAGAATTCACCGTCTCACAGAAGAAGCTTCATAGCAGAGCAGTTATCCTCCAAGCTAACAGGCTAATCTGCGCTGGCTGCTGCCGCTTCTTCTGCTGCTGTTCAGACAGAACCGAGGCGACTCTTCGCCCCCTACTGGTCACTGCCTGCAACAACAGCCTCTGATTCATCTGACAGCGTTGTCACTGTATTTATTGTTTTTTTATGAAGACGTTAAAGCTCCGTAACCGGTCTGACCATTATGATGAACCGCTAGAACGGTTTTGACTCTAGAATCAGGTTCTGAGGCCCGGTTCTGGTGTTCATCTGCAGACTCTCCATCAAGAATGATCTCTGGTTTTCTTTTGTTTTAAATCCTGCTCTATTTTTATTATTTGCCTTACTGTTATGTGCTTGTCATTTTGTTCTTTTTTCATGCCTATACTGGAATGTTCTTTGTACCTCAACAAGTTATTGTATACCGTTTGTCAGAAATAAAGAAAAAGCTTTAATGTAATGTAATCAGCCGGCGCAGCAGGGGGCAGCAGTGAGCCGGAGCCATCAGCTCGCAGGTTCCTCACCAGGTCAGAGTTCATCACAAAAATAAACACAGAGCAGCAGAGGTTCGGGTTTATTAATGGGTTCAGTGATTGGGTTCAAACTGCTTATGCTACAGCTGCGCATGCGTGAACAACACAGTTTGTTCACCCCGGTGCATTATGGGTCGCAAGAGCTGCAGAAGATGTCTGGATGGAGATGATGATGATGATGATAATCATCATCATCACTCAGTGACCCGGTTAGGACTCTAAAGTTCCGGTTCTATTCCTGTTGTTCAGGAGCAGAAAGTGTTAGAACCACAGGTTCACCATGCGAATTCGTCATGGTACCAGAACCTGGTCCTGGTTCCTGGTGGACTTCCACCGTCTGGGTCCAGAACCACCAGGAGGTTCTGAGCAGTGTGGACCGGGCCTGGTGTCCTCTAGGCGGCCGGCTTCCGGCAGCGCGCGGGTCCTCTCTGCCTCTGGGCCGGGGATGCGCTCCGAGCCGAGCCGCAGAAAAGGCTCTGTTCACCGGATCCGTCGGCTTGTCCCCGTCCGGTCCGCGGGCCCCGTGGTCTGTGCGCTCCCTGGCATATAATCTGGACTGGGACCAGAACCGAACCAGAGAGTTTGAAGCTGTGTTATTCCAGCAGCGGGGCTGGCTGCAGCTCTGTCCGCGGCTCTGGTTTCATCCTCCGCCTTTGTCTCATGTTTTCCCCCGGAGGTCCTCCCCCTGCGGCGCGGGGCGGAGTTTCATACCGAGCTAGACGCTCCTTTTGTCGGATTCGTTTCGAACTGACTCCCCGGGGTTTACGAGCAAAAAACAGGCTCTAAGAAAGGCTCAGAATCAGCCGAACCGGCACGGTTCTGTTCGGGAACCATCCGGAAATCCAGCAGAACCATCAGGTAAGCGAAGGTTTCGTATTTTAAACGGATTTCTCGGTTTTTCTGCTCGGTTGTCCCCGAGTCCCCGGAACATTCATGGCGGCTTCGCAGTGAGGCTTTCTGGGGAACCGAGGTCGAGCCTTCCCGCTGCGACCCAAAAGGAGCTCCTGGTTCCGGTAATCGGGTCGGTTCGGCCGGGGGAACCGCAGATGGTGTGTTTCCAGAACCTTTCAACGGCATTCCAGGTCATTTCAGACCGTTTCTGCGGTTTTCTGCTGCAAGAGGATTATCGGCTCCACATGTCGGAACCAGCGGTTCTGCGGAGATTAAACCACAGAAACGGTTTAATCTCGCAGTTTGGCCGCTTTTACTCCTAATTTAGACAGACTCCCGTGCGCCTTCCAGCGAAAGCTACGTGCTGACTCCTGCCGGAGAAGGGACGCCATTACCGGGGCAGCTGCAGCCAGGCGGCCCGCTCAGTCCGCGGGGCCCCGGGCAGGCTCCTGAAGGGCGGCCCCTGATGGCCCCCAGAGCTCGGTGGAGACCCGGACCCGTCATCACAGCAGGTCCCAGTTCAACAGAAAACCCCACATGGTTTCTCCCAAACAGAACCAGAGCCGGTCCGGTTCAGAGCGACACGGAGCAGAGCGTCCAGCTGCTGCTGTAACAGCCAGACCGCTGCTGCTCGGTCCTGCCCCCTGCCGGCCAGCCGAGGAGGAGGCAGCACCACCTCCTCCAGGAGTCCTGACCCGACCCAAAGGGAGGTTCCGACAGGTTCCGACCTAAAGGGAGGTTCTGGAGGGTTCTTTGGTGAAACTCTACTTATCTAAAAGAGTCAGTTATTTTTTCTAAAAGATTTTGTTTGGTGAACTAAAACAAAATTTAAATCATGATTCTGGCAGAAAAACATGTCCAACCTGAAGGACAGGTGTGTGTGTGTGTGTGTGTGTCAGATGAAGGACAGGTGTGTGTGTGTGTGTGTGTGTGTCTCAGATGAAGGACAGGTGTGTGTGTGTTTTTGTGTGTGTCTCAGATGAAGGACAGGTGTGTGTGTGTGTGTGATTGCAGAGCGGCGAGGGGCGGAGCCTCCGTCAGGATGAACGGCAGCAGTAGCGTCTCTGCGGCTCAGAGGATCAAGGCTGAAGCAGGTAAGTGTGTGTCGGCCCCGGCCCAGTGGTGGCAGCATCATGGCGCTGACGGCTGTCCGTCCGCAGACGCGTGGAGCCAGGAGGACTGCCTGACGCTGCTGGAGCGGATCCGCGGTCTGCTGCCCGACGGAGACGCCATGAAGTACAAAACCACCGAGTCACACTTCGACTGGGACAAGGTCGGCTTCGGCCGCTTCACCGGGGACATGTGCCGCCAGAAGTGGCAGAAGGTCTCCTGCGAGGTACGGCCTGCCGCCAGTGGGCCCAGTGGGTAAGGGGGTTAGTGTTGGGTTCCGGACCTTCACCTTTCATTCTGGTTCTGTTTTCAGGTCCGGAAGTACCGGACCATGACGGAGCTCATTGTGGACGCTATTGAGTTTGTCAAGAACCCGTACAAAGGCAAGAAGCTGAAGGTGAGTGGTGCAGGTGCAGAACCGAGCTCAATGGCAGAATCGGACCAGTTCTGACCCTGTGTCTCTGTCCAGACCCACCCAGACTTCCCCAAGAAGCCGCTGACTCCCTACTTCCGCTTCTTCATGGAGAAACGAGCCAAATATGCCAAGATCCATCCGGAGATGAGCAACCTGGACCTCACCAAGATCCTGTCCAAGAAGTACAAGGAGCTGCCAGATAAAAAGAAGGTCAAGACTGGAACCAGGAACCAGGAAGCGAAACCAGAACCAGAACCAGCTCACATGGTCCCCATGTCTCTGCTTTGTTTCAGCAAAAGTACATCACAGAGTTCCAGCGGGAGAAAGAGGAGTTTGAGAAGAACATGGCCCGGTTCAGGTGAGTTCCATCCAGTGGTTCCAGTTCCGTGGTTCCGGTCCAGTGGTTCCAGTCCCGTCCTGATGCATGGTGTCCTGCAGGGAGGAGCATCCAGACCTGATGGAGGAGCGGAAGAAGTCGGACCTGCCGGAGAAACCCAAGACACCCCAGCAGCTGTGGTACAACCACGAGAAGAAGGCCTACATGAAGCTGCACCCAGAGGTACTGGCCCGGTTCTGCCATCGGCTCGCCCGGTTCTGCTGCCACCCCGGCACCATCCACTGACCGGAAGCGTGTGTCCTCAGGTGAGTCAGAAGGAGCTGAAGGAGGCGCTGAGGAGGCAGTGGTCACAACTGTCCGACAAGCGCAGGCTGAAGTGGATCAGCAAGGCGCTGGAGCTGCAGAAGGACTACGAGGTGAAGTTCTGGCTCTGGTTCTGGTTCTGGTTCTGGTTCTGGCCCGACCCACCTCCTTGGTCCTGACCTGCCAGACTCTGTGTTGCAGGACAGCATGAGGGCGTACCACGAGGCCCACCCAGACTCCAACTCAGAGGAACACGTCCGCTCTGTCCTCACCAAGGCCGAGAGACAGCTGAAGGACAAGTTTGATGGACGGCCCACCAAGCCGCCACCGTGAGTCCACCAGTACCACCAGTATAACCAGTAGGACCACTACGGTAACAATAGGGTTGTAAATTCTTCCACCGTCTGTAGCGCTGTGTCAACCCAGTGCACCCAGTCTGCAGCCTGAACGTTAAGGCCCAGATTGTAGTCTAAACCAATCAGAGACAGAGAAAGGCAGGAATCCTGCTCTGATTGGCTGATCATGGACATGTCCTGCAATCAGAGAGCTGGGTAGGGTAGTCTAGGCTACTCTATGCTATGCAAGGCTACATTAAGCTAATAGTCTGGCCTAGCTTAAAGTAGTTATGTTAGGCTACTTTAAGCTAGTCCAGACTACTCTCTCCTAGAGTAAGCTGAACAAAGTTAACCCAGGTTAGGCTGCTCTACACTAGGAGAGTCTAACTCTCCCTACTGCTGTAGGGAGAGTTAGACTCTGTTAGAACGATGTGTGTGACCAGGGGGTGTAGAGAGATCCTTAGAGACTCCCTATTATCCTCTTCCATCCACTCAACCCCCCCAGCACACACAGCATTCATCATTGTTGTGTTTCCTTTTTCTTTTTTTTTCATTCATCCATACCGCTTCCCGCGCCCCCCTGCAATGGTACGGTGAGCCCCCTAGGATGTGCGCCCCACAGTTTGGGAACCTCTGGGCTAGGCTATGCTACACTAGGCTACTCTGTTCTATGCAAGGCTAACTTAGGCTACATTTGTCAGAGAAACGGAGATGTAGCACTGATAAAGAGGAAATCTGGAAAAGTTGAGTGGTGAACCCTGAAACGCTGGAGGTTGTGGTGGTGTAACTGGTCCCAGTGATATTTCCCAGTTCAGCTCAATCGCTGCCGGTTCAGCCCGGCGGGTCCCAGTTCAAACAGTTCATGAACCAGCAGGGTGTCCAGTCGCTGGCCCACAGCATCCCTCGTAGTGAGCATGCTTGTAGCAACAGTGGCGAGAAAACAACAGAACCAGAACCTGACGGTTCTGGCGGTTCTTTACTGGAGCCAGAAAATAGGCCTTATTTGTGAAATACTTAGTTTAGATGTAAAAACAATACAGGACTGTAGGTTATTTAGTTTTTATAACTTTTAATGAAATATTTTCACAGGATTTGTTGCCATGTTCACGCTGCAATGCATTCTGGGTAAATGAGTGCAAAGGTCCAACTGTCTGGCTCCTCCAGCCAAACAGTGACGAATAACTTTATGAAGCCTTTTTGATTTGAACCGAAGCTCATTGAAACCGATCAGAACATAGAAACAACAAGAGGCGATGAAGAGGAGGAGCAAACAGAGGAAGAGCTGGCCGTAGGAGCTGCTGCCGCCTTCAGGTTCATAATGAAACAATGAATGAGACTCACCTCTGGTCCCTGTGTGATCCGGTTCGGTTCTGAAGCTCTGTCTCCGGTTCGGCAACAGCTGTTCCTGGTGGTGGTTTCACATTCAGTACCGGTGTTCTAGCTCCGTTAGCTCCCAGCTTCTGTAGCGGTTCGGCATCAGCTGTGCTGCTTAGAGTGCGGTCCAGTGCAAATAGCCACACCGGACTTAATTACCACCAACACCGGACCTCCATGGGTCCGGTCGGACCGGTGATGTCAGTACCGCAGGCCTTATAGCTCCTGTTAGCATCTCAAAGAGCGTCCAGCTCTCCCTGTCTCAGCACGGCATTTATTTTTAGCTTGTTAAGGTAAAGATCACCTGTTAGCTTCCTTGGTTCTGCTGGTATAAATGGCTCAAAGTGTGGTGGAGAAATGTCCAGGGTCCAGATTAGGTCCTTCATTGGGTTCCACTCCGGCTCTCGCACTGAGCTCTCCTTTCTTTCATGTAGGAAATTATCCAGATTCGCCTCAATTTTCAGTGTTGTAGTACTCGAGATCGGTCTTAGTCTCGGGCTCTGAGGACTCGGCATTTTATTTCAAG